TTAAACATCATTCCACTGAAGTCACCAACTGTAAATGTGTAACTATTGGTCACGCATGTTTTTGCATGAAATTTTATTTTTTTACAAAATGCCTCTTTTTATTAATTGCTATAAATAAAACAATATCTACAACCTATAAAGATGGCTAATTATTTTTAAACAACTCGCAAAGTCACCAAATCACAGTCAATTTTTAATAGGAGTGTGAATAATCAGAATGTATTTTTTATTACTTTATTTAACAAATTCTCTTAGAATGTAAAAAATAACAAAGAGTTTCATTAATTTATATAACTTTATCCACCGAAAAGAAAGCTGTCTCAGCTAAATACATGAAAACATTGCTTAATATGCTGCCGATCTTGAAATATGAAAAATTAGGATCTTCCACATGAAAACAGTTTCTTGGAAATAGATGCACAGTCTAAAAAAATTTAGATTTTCACATTGTTTGGCAACATCATTTTAAAGAAATCCAAACTGACTTTATAATGTATGATTCAGTACATATTCTATATTTTATTTTGTTCTTTTCTTACTTTTTTACATGAAGTAAATCTTGACTAGAGAAAGAAATCAATGTAAATTGCTGTAATACTAATGTTTGAATAATCTTAATGCATCAGTATTGATGGAAAACAAAATACAAATATTTAGTGATTAAACATTAGTTGAATCTTCATAAGTTCTACAAATGTCTAAGTAATCACGGCAATACAGGTCAAATAAGAATGAGAAAATTTATGCCTAAATTCACTAAGGATTGGAGAATAGAATTGCACAATTTGATTAATTTAACAAATTCTATTTATTGCTGGAAAACAAGCAGAAGCTTAATTGAGCAAAGGCTCCCAACTTAAAAATTTGGAGATTCTGTGACCTATTGGGAGACCTGCTATCTTATGATAGCACAGCTGCTAACTCTCACAGTTGACAAAACTGTGTGAGTTAGCAGCTGTGGCCTTTTAACAGTTGTCTGAAAGATACACATTTCCATCTGAGGATAATGCAAGGCATTTATAATTCACCAGTTTTTACTTGCTGAGTTAAATAAACTAAATAAATGATGGTACTCTTAATTTATTGGGACTGAAATCAGAAATGTATGTATGTATTGTACATGTATGCATGTATAAATGTACACTGCTCAAAAAAAAAAATTGGACAGTCCTATATCTCCCGATCTACTGGGCCGATTGACAAAATTCAAATTGCGTTCTTCATGTCTTGAAAGCGCGACTTAGGATATATATTAGATTTATATATAGCACTATTCTAACATAGGTATTTTGACACAAAATCGGACTTTTTCTGAAATAACATACCAATTTTTTTACATATTTCGATTCTACGACTCCAAATTACGCCTCTCTAAATATGAAATTTTGTAAAATTTGGAGCGAAAACGAAATTTACGGAGAAATTCACAAATTTATGTTGCCACTTTTTTGTCAGTTTGCGCCAAGAATACTTCACTTGGCAAACTTCTTAATATATGGCAACCTAGTTTCCTTTCCCGTGAGAGGAAAAAAAGTCACCATCGTTCCTTTTTTCCAAATAATATTCTTTATATTATATTTTTAATTATAAACTTATTATTTAAGTAATTTTTTTCTTTTTCGAATTTCATTTTAATTGTTTAAGTTGCATTTTTTTTTTTTTTTTTTTTTTTTTTTTTTGCCGAATAACTGTTTTAAAAATTTCTATCACCTATTCAAAACTGCGTAAATAAAGGGGCAGCGTTTATTTTTTTTAAATAGTTTTCTTTATATATATTTTTCGTCATAGTTATTATTTTAGGTAATTTTAAAATTTTTTACTTTTATTTTTAATTGTTTGTGTTGCATTGTCTCTTCAGATAATTGTTTAAATTTTCTATTTATTTCTTCGAACTGAGCATTTTAAATATATTTATTAATATCAATTTTCCAGGAATTTATTTTATTTATTTGAACTGTGTTTCTTTCGGAAGAATACTTTGTAACCCAGACTACGATGAGTTTGAAAACTGCCATACCATATTAAAAGAGAAAATACAGTAAAGCACAGTTTTACACGCCTTTCAATGTTCCGTTCAGAAAAGATATATGTAAATAAGAGAGGGTATAACCGACATTTTAACTTAGGATGACTTGCATACACTGCTTTAAACAGTTTATCATTGTGCCCATTGCTTACACAATTTTATCCTACATTTATTTCTTAAAATGTTATTCATATTTTAGTCAAATATTTTATTTTTGAAATCGCAAGAATCAAATATCATAACATTGAAAAGTTTTTAAATTAAAAAAATACAAATACTAAAATTTTACGAAAAAATTTATTTTTCTTCTCTTTTTCTTTAAGCATTCTGAAAGTATATTAAAAAGTATCCAACTTTTCGAAACATTTTGGTATTTCTGACAATCATTTTAAATAAAGTTATCGCCTTCCATTTCATAAAGGCCCACAAACGCCGAGCGGTAAAGACGCTGATCACTGGTAGTTCGGTCTGAGGTTCGAATCCCGCGAACGGGCTGGTTGCATGGGTGTTTTCGTGGTTTTCCCGATGTGTAACGTGTATACGAGCCAGTTTTCCTTAGAAAGTCCTCCACGAAGGCATTCCTCCCTTTAGGCAGATAGCCCTCGTGTGCTTTGCCATAATTAAATAATCCAATCCAATCCTTAATTAAATATAATTGATTTGTAACTTCTACTAGAACTGACGTTAAGAATCGAAGTGCAAATAAATAATATCGTGTGCAATCTTGATTAATATAAAATTAAAAATATTTGCACAGAAAAATATTTGCATTCAGACAGAAAGTTTTTTGAAATATTTGCAATTACTTTATAAGAAGGATTTATTAATAACCGTAATAATTACTTATTATATTACTGATGATTAGGAATCAGTTCTTGACAATTACATTCTAAATTAGAATTTAAAGAATTATTAGGAATTTTAAATTAGAATAATGAAAATACGCTACGCACAAAAATACATTTAGGATAAAAAAATGAGTTGATTTTTTATGTTTTAAAACTCTTGAATTCATTTAATAAACATCGTATCCTCATTGTTAATTGAATTCAGAATGTTGGGTGTCGTCGTTTATAATTATTCTTACTTGTCCACGGAATCTGCTGACTTATCCAGCGATTTAAGTAGCTGCAGATCATTTCTACATAAACCATTGAACTTCCATTAATTCAGTCTTTAGAAGGTTGTATATTTATATCATAATTTGACTTTATAAAAATGATTATTCTAAAATCTTATGTTTCTATAAAAGTATACTGTGCTTTAAAAATATGGATGATAGTACCAGCCGCTCTTTCAGCCACTTCAAAAGCATCAGTTTGTTTAGAAATAAATTGTGCAGTTAATGTCATAAAATTCAAATAAACATCAAACGGAAATTCTCAGTTTTAGACAATTCGATTTAAACGAAATAAAGTAGCAGACGATAAAACGCCGAAGGTAAAAATTTACTCTTATTTAAAAAAAAAAAAAAAAAAAAAAAAAAAAAGATAGAGAGAAATTAAAAAAATATTAAAAAATAGCTTTTCATATAGTATTACTAAATATTTATTACGCATCATTGAGGGAAAAAATGTCATATAATAAATTCTCCGTAAAATTTTACTTGAAATTTAAGGTGAAAAATAGCTGTGGCAATACAGTGTAACAAATATCCATCGACCACATTTGGCGTTATTATCGCTCAAAAAATGTATGCCAAATTTCAAAATGCGAAAATATGTAAATTTGTGTATATCTTAGAAAATTTTAATAAAAAAGTCTAATTTTTTGCAGATATGCTTAAAAATATACCTACTTTAAGATGATGGTAAAAATTTTATAGGTTATAATTCAAATTTTTTTTGAAAAATTGATAAAAATTATTTAAAAATAGAAATTTATAAAATAAAACACAAAAAATGGGTAAATTTTATTTGGAATGAACCTAAATTTCAAAATGTGAGAGAAAAAATAAAAAAAGTTTAATAAAAAAAGAGATATCAATAAATATTTACCAAATTCAATTAACATTGAGGAGCTAAAATTTTGAGAGCTAATATTTCAAAAACTACTCGTACGATTTTTACAAAACTTGGTATTCTGGCATAATTTGAGTCGTAGAATCGAAATATGTAAAAAAATTGGTGTGTTATTTCAGAAAAAGTCCGATTTTGTGTCAAAATACCTATGTTAGAATAGTGCTATATATAAATCTAATATATATCCTAAGTCGCGCTTTCGAGGCATGAAGAACGCAATTTGAATTTCGTGAATCGCCCCAGTAGAACGGGAGATATAACACTGTCCCATTTTTTTTTAGCAGTGTACATACATATGGATATGAGTAATACATATATATATTTCTGAATCTGGTCCCAATAGCAAAAGAGTACCATGATGGTAATAATAATAGATTCATAATATATAGATTTTATGAGCAACAAGAAAAATTTAAAAACTTAAAAGTTTAACCAGGGAAGGACTTAAGGATTAGTGAGGATCAAAGCTAAAAACTTTTCTGCTTTCCAGTTAGGTAATATTACAACATACAATGTAATATATTCATTGTGCTCTTGTTAATACATATTTTGGATATCATGTAAAGAACAGATTCAAAAATAAAAATATTTATATAATAAAATTAGTCAAAAACAAAACTATTTAAGGTCAATCACACCTTTCACAAAGATTTATGTCTAAAAACAAGTTAAAAACCTGAAGTTAATAAAAAGTTTCTCTCAGTTAAAAACTAGAACTCAAATTGTTAAAAACTAGATTTTTTTAAAATACGAATGAGAAAAATTAGGAGAAAGTGCAGAATCGCCCACTGCTTGGCGCGTTTTTAAAAATTGCACTAACTCGGTATCCATGTGCACATCGATCTATTTTCACTTAAAAAAAACATCTCAGAATTGCACAAAAATGGAACTTGACTCCCTTTACTTTATCCATGTACACATCGACCTATTTTCACTTAAAAAGTCAAAGAAAATTGACAAATATCCAATTCTTTTTACTCTTGTAAAAAGCAAAAAAAAAAAAAAAAAAAAAAAGCCAACTAAAGAAGTGGGCGATTCTGCACTTTAACCAAAAATTGTTTATTCTCTAAGTGGGATCAATTTTTGTTGACAAGAATCTGTTTCTTGTACATTTTTCTTTGTAAAACATCCTCCACAGAATTGGTATTTTTTTAACACAATCCAGCTATTTATGCACTTATTTTTAATAATGCATCAGCATACTGAAACTCTTTACCGTTTTCATAATCACACATGTCTAATGCAACCTCACAACTTTCACGTACAACTCTCTTTTCATCTTTGACGTAACGATTTAAAATTTCCATACACTCTTCAGTTGCAATTGCACCTAAAGCCTCGGCACATTCATGTCGAACCATCTCGTGTTCATTTTCATTAAATAAAACTTCAGCTAACTGTTTCACAGTTGATTTATTCTGCATTTGACCCAAAACATATGCTATTTCATGACGAAATAGTGGAGATCCACACGTAAGTCCTTTGGCTAAAGCTAAGGCTGAATCATCGGTTCCCATATTTCTAAGGCTAAACATTGCTTGGTACCGTTTGTAAAGTGTCTGTGATTCATCTAAAAGGATTGATTCCAGTTCATTTACCGAATTATAAATACTTTTAGGCAGTGGTGGAGTGGGATCGATAGACTTATAAGGATTTTGAGAGAGATCATCATTGTAAATTTCTTTGTCTTGCAGTTTTTCTAGAGCTATTTGACAAGTCTCTGAAACTTCACGACTGGGATCATTTAAATGCTTTCTAAGAACAGAACAGCTGCTTTTTAGCCCTATAGCAGCAAGAGCTTCTGCGGCTTCATGACGAACTATTACTTCTTCTTCTGCATCATTTAAAATAGATTCTAGCTTAGGTACAGCTAATGCATCTCGCATTTGACCCAAGCAGTAAGCACATTCGTGTTTTAGTAGAGCAGATGAATCTTCAAAACATTTTTCAATGCATTTTATAGACAATTCTCCTCCGATATTTCGAAGAGTAAATAATGCTCGAAATCTTTCTTTCATTGGTCTCTTTACATCAATTAATATTCTACCGATACTTTCAACTAACAGTTTATTTTCCTTCGACAATTCCATTGCTCAAAATTACACGTGACAACCTCCGTACCATAAGCTTTTCACGGGACGTTAAATACAGACTTATTCCGTGCTTTCCCCCATAATAACTGTTCAGCTGCGCATGCGCAAAAATCTAGGGTTACCTTAAATTTGTCGTATTTGGCGCTTTATCGCAAAAAAAATATTTCCATTATTTTAGGAAAATACCAAAGCATTGCCGAGAGAATGAATGATCCGTACTAAATTTATATGTAGTTTATATAACTTTTTTTAATTAATGTTATTTATCCTTATCTTTAGAGCCTTTAATCCAAAAAATTGTTTGAAAATTTCAGGCTGTTTATGTCATAGGACATAAAATTTCGTTTCGGAAAGAAAAATAGTTTAGAAAATTAACAAACTTTTGAAGATGCTTATTATTAATTTATGGTTTTTTCCTCATTATGTGGTAAACTCATATGAGAATAAAGTGAATAAAAAAAAAAAAAAAAAAGAATCGTTTGCCTGAAAGAAAAAAATTACTCATGTGTTTAGTAGTAAACTTGAGAAACCTTTTTTTAATCAAAATTTTGTGTCAGGATGTATGTAACAGTAAACCAAACAGAAAATATAAAATACATTCAGGAAGTAAATATGCATGATTTGTATGTATAGATTATAAATCAAAATATTTTGTATACATACATTTCTGAATGCAGTCCCAATAACAGGAGAGCACATCTCTGATTTCTATAAACACTGAAATATAGAACTCAAATTCGAAATTAACGTTTCTCAATAAGTTGAACTTTACATTATTTCAATTTTTTAAACACTCTGTTTAGTTTCAGGTCATGAAAAACTGTATTTTTCTGCACAATTAAGCTTTTGATTGTAGATAATTTTGTAGTCAACTCGGAGTTTTTTTTTTTTTTTTTTTTTTTTTTTTTTTTGGGGGGGGGGGGGTTTCCTACAGACAAATTAATATAAGTAGCCACACATATTTCCATAAGATTTTATTCTTTATATATATATGTATTGCATAACATCTGAAAGTACCAAGAATGAGCCCTGTAAAGCAGAGTACATTTTTAAAATTTATAGTTTAAATTAAGGATTCCCAGGCTTTTTCTTCATTAACCCTTTTATATTTTTCTCTATAATATATAGCATACAACATAATAACAATACAAATAACTGTGCATACATACATAGCTTAAAGATTATAGAGCTAGACTAAGAATATGCATAAAAGGTTTGGAAAAAAACAGCTTTTTAGGTTTATGCTTTATTATTATTTATATTCTTATTATTTTGAATTTTAGAGATATAAACAAGATCCAAAATCGCAGATTTTAATTACCCCAGAATTTGATTTTAACGAATGTAATGGCTGCACTTGATGTATATTGAAATAATTTTTTAAATATTTGGCATAAAATTGCTTAATTCTTAAATCAACTTGTTTAGAAATATTCAACATGTTTCTTGATTTCCGTAATAAGTTACTGACTTGACTAAAGCTTCTTTCCAGTGGGTAAGAAGAAGAAAAATTCTATAATACTGGTTTAGTAACATCTTTAATTTTGGGATATTTCTCTCGCATCATTTATAAATTACTGAACTTAGTGCATTCATATGTTAAAATATGACTTGATTTATTTGCATAATAGGGTTTTATATCAATATACAGTTACTTTTTTTTTTCTGCAGTCAGTAGGATCTTGATTGTGCTGATCACTTGTCATTGCATATTTGAATATTGAATCGTTGACCATAGGGACCCTTTAAAAATTCATCAACCCGAATGAGAAACCCTGGTCTAAAGTCTAACTAATAATACTTTTAAACATTTTTAATATTAGAATTCATTTTAAATTGCTAAAAGTTTTGCCCAATATCTTTGCATAAATGATTTTTATAAAAACCTTTTTAGTAATTATTTTATGTAAGATCAGATTGGATTGGATTATGGTGTAGCCTTGGCTACTAATGTTTAAAATTAATTTATGACTAGTAACAGCATCAATTATAAACAAATAGCTAAGTTATTGCACTTTCTTTTCCAGCTATCGAAATGCGACGCTACGAGCAACGTTTTGAAACCAAAACCTAGCAATCATGAATCAGAACTAGAACTAGTTGCCATTCAGCATAAAGAAATTAAATATACTATGAAACTAAATTGGCATTCAGCATAAAAGAAAATATAAATATGAATAAACAAATATTAAAGTTAATTTATAAAATAATTAAACACATGAACAAATATATGAAATAAAAAATAATTATTTCTCATGCAATAACTGGGCCACTACACTACTCCCCCCACCAGTAACTAAGTTACGTTACGAAGATGGAGAAATAGGTAGTAACTAGTATTGCAGTGTTAACCCACAATCAAAATAATTTAGTCAGTCCTTGAATCTAACAGGTAACGTATAGTTCTGCCTGTGCGAGAATGTTTTTGATTCACATCCGAATTTGAGTCCGGTCTCTGCAAATTAGTGTAGTCAGTTGTATCAACTGAGAATTTTCCTCAGCTAAAATATATGCTGGTTTTCAAGCGATCCAGGGATACATTAACATGTTTTCCTTTTATGCTAATAGTAAAATATTTGTCCTTGCGATCAATAACAGGAAATGGTCCTTCATAAGGAGGTTCCAAGGTTTTTTTACCCGATCTATTCGCTGAAACACATGAGAACAAGTTTTTAAGTCTTATGGACAAATATCTGTTCAGATGAATTTTTACGAATTAGTCTCGGTCCAACAACTTCCATCTGTTTCTGGAGTTTATTAGCAAAAGTCTCCGATGCTGTCTTGATACTTGGTTCTCTGAAAAACTCTCTGGGAAGTCTGAGACTCTGGACCATAAACTACTTGCGCAATAGAATGATTTGGTATCTTCTTGAATAGCAGTACGTACAAACCCAAAAGTACTGTTTGGTAATGTGTCCGTCCAAGATATGTTGTTGTGGGCTTTTAATGCTGTTTTTGATGTTCTATGAAGGCGCTCAAACTTTGCCATTACACGTGGGGTTGGTAGGCAGTAGTGTGTTGTAAACTGATGCCACAGATTTTGGACAAAGCTTCGTAATTTATCACTTTTAAATTAGGATCCACGATCACTAATGAGTTTACTTGGTGTTCTGAAACGCGGCAATCCAGTTGCTATAAAAGGCTCTTGTGACGTTCTCAGCTGAAACATTCTTCTAAAGGAATTGCTTCCATCCAATTCTAAACTCTATCTATGCAAGTAAGACAATAAATATTCCCTTTAGATGGTGGAAGTGGTCCTATGAGATCGATATGGATGACAGAAAATCTTCCTGGTGGTACTTCAAACTCACCTAATTTTGTTTGGTGTGCCGATGATTTAGCTTTTTGGCAAGGAATGCAGGTTCTTGTCCACAACTGTACATCTTTTTTTATGTTAGGCCAAATGAATTTTGATGTCATTAATTTCATAGTCGATTTTATTCTGGATGTGATAAACCATGAATTCGTTGAAAGACGTGTTGTCTGAAAGCCTGAGGAATATATACGGCCGAATATTGTTTAGTTGATGTATCACACCACAAATATTTCCCCGAAGGTAGAGAACATTGCTTGAAATTCAAGGAAGTAGTGGTTTGCAAACTCTTCAGTTCTCATCTTGAGTTTGTTCATCAGCTATTTTATCATAATCATCGATGAAATTTCATTAACTCTAGATAATGTATCCGCCACAATATTATTCTCACCTTTTACATATTTGATATCACTCGAAAACTGGGAGATGTATTGAAGTTGGCGCGAGCCTGTCTAGGTGTTGCTTTGTCAAGTTTTTGACGAAAGGCGAATATTAAGGCTTGTGATCTGTATAAATTGGTAAATACTCTTCCTTCTAGATAATGCTTAAAGTGTCTAACTGAAAGATATATGCTTAATAGTTCTCTATCATAGGTGCTATATTTTTGCTGAGTATCACTTAATTTTTTAGAAAAAAATGCTATTGGCTTCCACGAGGAGTTTTCATATTGTTGCAACACTGAGCCAATCGCCGTATCTGAAGCATCTGTAAATAACGCCAGAGGGAATTCAGAATTGAGAAAAGACAACAGTGCCGTGTTCATGCAGCCAGCCCGTCAAGACTTTTTAAGCAAAACGTAAAAAATACAAAATTGAGCCAACCCATTTATTTGCCATTTCAAAACTTTAGCTATTCCACCATTTACATCAGAAAGTATTGCTAAAGATAAAAGCTTAAAATAATTGCCCATATACTTATCTCAGCATAAAATATGAAGAATGCATAATGATATAAATTATTTACAGGTCTGGATGTTGTATTCATCAAAGAATGAAAACAGTCTATAGTGCTCATACGACAATACTAACTAATGCATATATTTTTAATTATGTCCAAAGAATACATTTTTTTCTATGGGATATCCATCAATGTTCTGAGGCAATATCAATATTGCATGGTACACTTAGATAAGGACTGAATTCAGTTTGGGCAATTCCTAGAATTAAATGGTGGTGTGGTGTATTTAATTATGGCAAAGCACACAAGGGCTATCTGCCTAAGGGGAGGGATGCCTTTGTGGAGGACTATCTAAGGGAAACTGGCTCGTATACACGTTACACATGGGGAAAACCACGAAAACGCCCATGCAGCCAGCCCGTTCGCAGGATTCGAACCTCGGACCGAACTACCAGTATTCAGCGACTTTACCGCTCAGCCGTTGGTGGGCCTCCTAGAATTAGAATTTGTACCTTCTGGATTGATTTTCGTTCCTGAATTATGTCTGATTCTTATTCCTATAATTACTAAATGACCTCTGGCAAGGAAAATTCACAATCCTGCAGTTTTTCTGTCATTAAATTTTCTTTGAATCTTCAATCTTACCTTCAGTTCTAATATGGGCAGAGATCTGTTGCAGTTACAGGATTTCTTCAATTAACAAATGTTGTCAGATATTACTTACTTCATAGACTGCCTTAGAAAGCTAATTGTTATTATTTATTTCCTTTATTGAAATGTGTTAGAGACTTGAATAAGTTAACAGATGTACAGTCGGTCACAAAAGTATTCGAAC